CTTGATTAGTAATTCATAAAATCAGTTATTTTCAGTGTGTGCAATTTATAAGCTTTTTCATTTTTACTTTTCCCTTTCTGTGTGTAAGAATTGCAATAATTGTGGATTTAGGTGCTAAATAACTCATTAGTTCTTAAAAAATCTAGCTCTCATGTACCCAAAAAAATAGCAGTAAGTGATTTTTTGGATCTTGAAATCACCCAGTAGGAAAACAGAAAATAATAAGGCTTAACACAGAGATATAAACATGCCCTGTACCATATAAGAGATGTTCCATGGTCTCTTGCTTATAGTGATGAGACATTATGGAAACCGTTACTGGAATTTTTTCTCCTACCAAAATGTTATTTGAGCTGCAGACTAATAGAAAAGCATTTACGTAAGAAAACTATGCAAGTTTTATTATGTAACGTTGTAACTTCTCTGTTGTTTTCTGTTTTATTTCAGTGAAAGAAGCTGGAAGAGACTTCACCTATTTTATTGTGGTGCTTGTTGGAATTGGTGTTACAGGTTATTTTTTATGATTACATTCTTTATCAGAAGACACTTTTTATAAATTCCATCAGGTTTGGTAAGTTTTCATTCCATTTGCTGTTATTTCTTTTACAGGTGGTTTGTTCTACGTGATTTTTAAAGAGCTATTCTCTTCTTCTAGTCCAAATAAGATCTATGGAGATGCCTTGGAGAAATGCAGATCTCACCCTCAGGTTGGTTTGTGGGCTTTAGTCATAAGTTTATGTTTCTCAGTAGTTATTGTCTCTTTTCAAGTCAAAAGTTGACACAAGGAATCTCACAAGCCAAGCTACGGGAAAAGCCATGTGGTGCTTAGAAGATCTGCCAGTGCTTTTAGCTTGCCAGAGGTGGGTCAGCTCCAAACTGGAGCCTGTGTTAGGATGGGTCAGTGCAAGCGTTGAGCCTGTGTGAATTAGCCTGCTGGAAGCCAAGTGCGTGTGCCAGAGCACAAAAACTGATGCAAATACAATCTGCCCTTCAGAGCACGTACTTGTGCCTACATACGGAAAGTCTTACAAACATACCTGACTTCCTGCTAAATGTAGTACTTAAGGAGTTCTGCAGGCCAGAGAGGCAACTGGTCCCACTTAAGTTTTGTATATCTAGCCTACTGCCTTTTCTCAGCACAGTTATTGTGTTGTGACACTTCACTACGGTTCTGTCACTCTGGGAAACACTGAATAGATACCCAGAAATTTAAACTCTTCCTTTGCAATATGCTTAGCCTTCCTGTGGCTAACAGGAAAAGAGATGCAGAACAGTCATGGGATCACACAGTCATCATAGCTAGGTTTAAACAAAAATCAATCTAAAACTAGATTCTAAAAACCACTACTTCAGGCAAAACAAGAAATGCATGCAATAGCTTTCAAGCAAGGCTGCCTCAGATATAATATACTGAGGATAACCTAGAAATGAAGTGACAGGTTGTCACTAGGAAAAAAAACGATGACTGCTTTGGAACAAGTTTGTAGAATTAAAACTTCTCTCCAATACTTGCACAGTAAAACCTACCCTCCTTTCTAACCAACTTTGAAGTGAGTTTAAAACTAGGTTAGTCTGCTCTGGTTTTATAGATTTGAAAAAAAAAATACTGAATTTCTTCAACAGTGGTGGTTTTTAGATAATGTGAAGGGGAATGCATTTGCATTTTAAACTTTGAAATAATCTCTTAGAGGAGACATGAACAAATATTTCATGCTTTTTTTTTCCTTTTTACCCAAATGTTAGTTTACACGTCTTCATCTCAGAGGACAGTAAAAGATCAGCTCAGTTGCTTAGAGCATGGTGCTGATAACACCAAGGTCATGGATATGATACCCATAATGGGCTATTCACTTAAGAATTGGACTCAATGATCCTTGTGGGTCCCTTTCAGCTCCGTATAGTTTGTGAAATGGAAGATATTAGTAGGATTTATTTTAAGTGTTCAATATTTGACTGTAAATACAGAAGAATTTTCTTTAACACTGTTTTCCTTCATAAACTCTTCTATTCTTGGACACACTAGACTCACAAAGGGCATTTTGTTAAAAAAAAAAATGCATTCCCAGCAAGGGTGTGAGCTGATACTGGAATATCTGTTTGTATGTGATACATTCTGACAATTCTAGCCTCTTCTTTTGTAGATAATTGGTGTTTTCGGTGACTCTATTAAAGGTTATGGGGAGGCAACAAGAAGAGGAAGACGACAGCATGTCAGGTACCCTTTGGTGTTTACCCATTACAGACAGTAGTTTTTGCACAGTAGAGACGTTTTGGGCCACAAATTGGATCTAGATTGGAGAACTGTATGTGATGTACCCTGTCACTTCTGACTGAACATACAAGTTTTTTGCAGTACCTTTTGTGTGGTGTATACCACTAAGTAGAATAAAATGCCTATTCTGAGTGCCTCAAAACAAGCAATGGTCATCATGGTAAATGTATAGCTGATCTCTCCAAAAACCAGGAGGAGTCTGAAGAGAGTAGTAAAGAGGCCTAGACATGCATGTGGGGAACAGGAATCTGACTGAAATTTACGGTCTGAAACTGTTCTGAACTGATGCTCAGAACTGGCTACCCATTTCTTATATAGCTTTTTTTGTACTTGAGGCCACATCTCTACTGTGTATTTAGCAGAACTTCTTTCACTTAAACCTTTAATCAGTGTGTCTATTTATTACTCTCCTTTTGAGAAAAACGACAGAACTATTTCTTACAAAACATTAATCCTCTGTGCTTTGCCTTTATTGGGTTCTTTGACTGGAATATATTCAATGAGGTTTCATATAGGATGAGACACATAACCCCCAATACACAACTTGAACCATGAAATTGAGGTTGGGATTTTTTTTGACTTTTACTAGTTGAAGTTTTATCTCTTCACCAGACTCTGTGAAAAAGTGTTTAAATCAGAGCTTCTAAATGAAATGAATATGCACAGACATTTTAAGCACCACTCTGTAAAATGAACTATGTAGATAAGTAAATGTATTATGAATCAGCTTTCCTCATATTTCATTTCCATAATTTTGAATGTCTAGTATTTTAAATAAATTTTTGAGCTGAGAACTGCATAAGATTGTAGAGTTTGCACCTCCAGTATAAGGATGACCTTAAATGTCTCCAAAATGTACAGGGGATTTTTTGTGTATGAACACCTTGGATGTGAATTTACCACAGGAAGGCTCTTCATTCATCTTTGTTCTCTCTAACCCATCATATCACCTAAACTGTATTCACAGTGTGTACCTGGGTATGACTGATGGAAATAAGAGCTTGGTAGTATGCAGCAGTTATTAATTTCAGAAGGAAACATAACTTGGCACCAGAACTCTCATTTGACCATTAGTTTCTGAAGGTGGTCACTTCAAAAGGAATGGGACCTTTCTATTTATCTAATATATGCACATAAACCAACTCCAGTCTAAATATCAGCATTTAGGCTGTAGATCTGATATCAGTGCCAGTTATACAACTTCAACAGAATAAAATTCTTGCCAAAGTAAGTAATGCACATAATTAACTGTTTTGATGTGATTTAATCAGCCTAATAATTAAGTAAACAAGCATGCTTTGTGTGTTTTGGCTTGTTAACTTAGTTTAAGTGCCTAAAAAAAACCCTGGTAGTCTTGGTGATGTGGGCATCACTTTCTAGATGTTGGGCTCCGAAACTCAGAGTTCTTTAGAAGAAATACAAGGAAATTCCAGAGTCTTCAGCTACTGGATTGCTTTTGTGTTTTTAGGGGAGGATTGGGGTGAGGACATTTAAGCATTTCGTCTCTTAATCCTCAACAGCTAATTAGCTCTTCTAACTCCGCTAGTCCTTAGGCACTCAGAGTAAAGCTTGGGAAGAGCAGTAGAGAAGGAACCCATGGTAGCATAAGGACTCCATCGGAATACAATTTCTTACAAAATGAGTAAGCAACTCCTCTAAGTAAGTTTAAATTTGAAGTTTTAACTAGCATATAATATGTATCCTTGCTGGGTGGTTGGGTTTTTGTTTTGTTTCGCTGTTTTTAGTCACATTGAATACGTGAAGGACGGATTGAAACATATGCGTTTGAAGTTCTATATTGAGGGCACTGAATCAGGGAAACAGGGAACAGTCCATGTGGAAGTCAAAGAGGTATGTACAATTGCTAGATATAGCTGACAAGCCTAATCTTGAACTTAAACTGCCAAAGAGAAAAAAACAACCTGAAATTGTTTTCCTTGCAGAATCCTGAAACAGGAAGATTTGAGGTCCGCTACATATTTGTGGACGTTGACACCTATCCAAGAAGAACCATTGTCATAGAAGACAACAGATAGCCAACGATCAAAGCTGCTGCCTTGTCTCATTGAGCATTGAATAATACTGATGTAGCCAGTCTACACGTGAATTGTTTGGTGTTCTCGATTGTGTCTCCCAGATTTGGGGTTGTGTTACAGGAAGTAGCCTCTCAGGGCATCCATTATTGACTTGGATAATAACTGATACAGGATTTAAAGTGAAACCAATGAAATATAATAGACCTATGATTTATGGCAGATACTCTTGACATAGGAAAGCAATGGCTCATAATAAACAGTTTAATGATGGATAATACTTCTGCATGCCTAAATACTGAGTCTTCCAAGTTTTTAGGTTTGTATGGGGAGTTGTCTTCCTTGCTTGGATTTCCCACTACCACTGCAATAAAGAAAGTGGTATTTTAACTGTAGACAAACTCTACTGTTTTCATTCTGGATGTCTTTGTAGGTAAGAAGGTCATCATCATCATCATGGCTAGGCTTTGCGAACGAAGATTTGAGAATGGCTCTACCCACGCTTGCTACAAGCGTGCTGATGGCTAAAAAGGCCAATGCGAGATAGACAAGTCCGGTTGCAGAATGTACAGCAGAAAGACTCCCCAGGTGATATCGACGAGACGCGATTCTTTCTGCGTTGTCTTTTCTCCTCGAGAGTGATCCTGCATGTGTTCTCAAAAGCAGCAGCAGCGTTATAGATGGTGTGTCTCCAGGCCTCCCGATTGGAGGCCAGGGTAGACCAATGGTGGTGATCAATATGGCCAAGGCTGAGGGATTGTTTCAGGCAGTCCTTGTATCTCCTCTTCGGGCCTCCTCTCTTGCGGCAGCCAGTGGCAAGTTCCCCATAAAGCACGATCTTAGGGAGGCGATGGTCCTGCATCCTGGAGACGTGCCCTGCCCAGCGCAGCTGAGTTCTCAGCAGCATGGCCTCAATGCTTGGGACTGCTGC